GGATTGGAAGTCCCATTTGACCCAGCTATCCTACTTCTGGGCATATTCCCTGAAGAACTTAAAACATCATACCACAGTGATATATGTGCACCCATGTTAATAGCAGCACAACTTGTAATAGCCAGATCTTGGAAACAACCAACTACCAACTGAGGAATGGATAAAAAAAAAGTTGTGATATTTTTATACAATGGAGTACTACTCAGCTATAAATAGTGATCACATTGCAATATTTATAAGTAAATGGATGCAACTTGAGACCATACTCATAAGTGAAATAAATCAAACTCACATGTGTAAATACCATATAGTCTCCCTAGTGTAAGAAATGGTAAGAGTACATAAGATACAAAAAACTCAATAATTACAGTGAAAGGATAAGAATCTGCTTAAAGGGGAAAAAATGTCTAAAATTATATAAACACCCTTAGCATAGCTAAGATGATTGCACTACAAACTTTACAAGTTCTTGGAACAAAATAGTTAACATTCATAGGACTGGAACAACTGTGCATATTATTGTATAGTGATCTGAGGAACTCTTGAAGATCATTATATAAAATAACAACCCTAGTTATGCTCGTACCGTCTTGTTTTGAAGGCCTATATGGTCAGTGTTCTGGGCTCCTCGCTATTGTTCTTTATATGTCTTTTTTGTTTTGTGTTTTTATAGGAATTTGTTTTGTTTTGTCTTGGTTTGTTTTGTTTTTCCCTCTAATACAAAAAGGATAGGTACACATGTAGAGACTCATGCATGTGTAGAACTTCTAAAAAGTTTATGAGAATCCATAATATAATGCATGATGAGATGAGCATCTACTTTGAAGAAAAAGAGACACTAAGGTACCCAGTGCTGATTCTGTAGCGTTATGATGTGAAATCCAGCAATACTATTATCCTTTGTTCAGAGTAGTTTCAATTCATTTTGTTTTGTTTAATTTCAACCCCACAGGGGTCTCTAGAGAATTCTGCAGAATGTCACTCAGAGCTGCTGCCCTATGGATGGGACTGAGGATGCTTACGGACCGCCTGCCCCAGTGATCAGAGCTTCCCTGACATCACTGCCCTCCTCACACATCTCTGCTGACTGAGGAGCAATCCTCCCTGGCTTCAAGAGTATTCCCTGACAAAGAACAAGAAAGGGATGCAGAGGAGAAGAACCTCTAGCAGGACAGACAGAAGTGACCCCAAGAGGCACTGGAAATGAGGACCAGGATGTGAGCAAGACAGAGAACTCAGTGATTCCATGTACACCAGTCTCACCAGTGACGTCTAAGGACAAGCTGGCTGCTGGATTAAGAGATGACTTTTGCTCTGCTCCCCAGTTTACATGTGATTCCTCTTGTAGCCTCCCAGTCCTTTCTTTCCTTCTTTGAAATGCAGAGTGATGTCTGAGAGCCACAGCAGACATCACTCACTTGTACTGTGAGGCCAGCAGCACAAAAGAAAGACTAAGCCAAGCACCAGAGCACCCTGCTGCTCTAAAAGAAAAAGGAATCCTTACATTTAAGTCAAATGTAAATAGACTTTTCTTTCACCAGCTATTGAGTGCAACCCTAACCCAGAGGCTAGCCTTGAGATGAAGAAGGCTGAATTTCAATTCATGAGTTTCTGGTGACAGCTCCTTCACTGGACTGCCAGCCAATCAGAAAACTCGACCCAGACATCAAACCTCCTTTATGAATAACAGTTCAATTAAAGTCTTAAACTAATCTCAATGCCTCTTATTTCAACAAGGGTTGCCTGAAATAATATAAGGTCACAAATATAACTGGAATAAATATTGGGTAGAGTTCATCTGTAAAATGCATACATGTTGAGAAAAAGGAGAGAATTAAGTATATTTTTCAAAATATGAAGAAAGATCAAGGGAATATTACAAAATGCATTCACACCACAGCATGAATTTGCAACTGCAGGTACACTATGACCTTAAGATTGGATTAGATTTAGATTTCGTTCTACAGAAAACTTTGCCAATTATAGTGACTAAGAAGACAAAACTGTACCTACACATGAATATTTAAAGATACAAAATTTGCTCAGCCTGATTTAGGACAAAAATGAACAAACAGTAGTTAATCAAAAAGCTTCATAAAAAATAATTCCCTTGTAGAAATAACAGTAATATTTTTAATTGTCCTCCCTGGAGAGCTTGACTTTTCTTCAGTCAAACATCCCAAGAGATTCTCCACTTAGCCAAATTCTATCTAAGCCCCAGCGGGGTTAGTCGAGATCCTTTAGGTCCCAACTATAAGCTCCCTGACAGGGGAAGCACACAGAGACCCCAAGAGCAATCCACCTGCAGCAGCTGTAGAAAGAGAACCTGGACACCACTGCGGTGTAAGTAAGTAGAGTCCATTTCCCAGCATCCACTGCATCTCCTGGTGTAAGTGCAGGAGGCAGCAGAGCAGAAGGAGAAAGACAGAGCACAGTGATCTCCCCAAGCCAGGAGGACTCAGCTCCCCTCTGGTGATGGGATGGAAATGCGTGAGAAGGGAGGGTGGCCAGGAAAGAGAGTGAAGGAGCCAGTGAGTGGATGTAATGGATCGACCTGCTCAGCCAGAGTTCTGTCAGTACTGCGAGCCTCTGGTGGAGACTTTGTGTCTGTGGCTGTGGCCACTGGGGACTCACTCAATGCCTGTCCCTGTGCTGAAATCTTACACCTATTCACTCAGTGACCCTCATCTCTTTCTAAGCTCTGTATTTTCCTCTTAATTTGTATTTGATATTTTAGTTTGAAATATCAGTGATTCACAGGAGATTTCACACATAAAACAGAGAAAACCCTGAAGAACTCTTCACACAGTTGTTCCTCAGAGGTTACATCTAAAATAATAAAACCAATGCCCAAACCAGGACTTTTAGACTGGTACTGTGAGAGGTGGGAGCATAGTAATCAAGGCATAGATGCCCATGCAGAGCCCACGCAGATGTCTCTCACATTACCCCTTACAAGCCAGCAAGCCCGCCACCTTCACTTTATCGTCTGCATTCATTTATTTGTTCCCCATTTGGAAATTCTTTTTTTCTTATTCATTCAAGATTCATTTATGTTGTTGCATTTACTAACAATTTGTTTCTCATTATTTCTGAGTACTATATTACAGAGTAGAGGTACTACACTTATTGAACAATTGTTGTGTTCTTTATTGAACAATTGCTGTGTTCTAGAACATAAGTATTTATACTTTGGTGCTGTTTCAAGTGAAAGTGTTACACAAATTAGGTACTCATTTTGGGCTTGCCCTAAATTTTGTGCAAAAATAATTCTGTAAGAGTATAAGGACTGAGTTATATGGTAGTACATGCATAAATTTTAAGAAACTACCCAACCATTTTCCATAGTAACTGTCATTTTACATTCCCTTCAGGAACCCATGACATATCTACTAGTTCTATATCACTGCTGCTTTTTGTGTTTTTTATTTTGATAAAGAATCTTGCTATGTTCCTAATTTGCCAGGGCTAAGCTTAAATTTGAAATCCTCCTACCTCAACCACTTAGAGTACTGGAATTAAAGAGCGTGTCTCCACGCCTGACTTCAAGAATGTTTTACGCCATCAACAAAATATGCTTTTTCATCTGTGACTAGGTCTTGGCAGATCAAAGGTTTTAATGTTTACAAGGAGAGAGAAGAGAGAGAGAGAGAAAGAGAGAGAGAGAGAGAGAGAGAGAGAAAGATAAAGTGCTTATCTCCTTTGCTTTTAGGATAATGACTAAGAATTCCTCACCCAATCCAAAGTTTCATAATACATTACCTTCTGGCAGTTTCATGACTTTATATTTCACATTTACCTATGCAATGAACAGAGACAATGTGAAAGGCAATATTTAAGGATTATATTATATTAATACTCATTAATGAATGAATCTTCACTCTATATCTAACCAGGAACAGGTTACTGAAACTCAGAGAGAAGTAAAGACATCTACAGTTTCAACAAACCACATGCAAATCAAATTGGTACTATGTGGTTCTTCTGGAAGCTATGCCATGACTGAAAGAAAACACAACTTCATGGAAATTGTAAGCATTTGGCATATTCAGCAGGCGTCTGAACTGTAAACAGACAGTCTGGGAAACAGAATCACTCAGGTAGGAGTGCCAAAAAGGATTTTATTACAGCCATATGAAGCCATTAAACATGAATAGGTAAAATTATTCCCCAGAAGATTGTCTCAGTCCAACTATTTCTAGGTTAAAGAACATGAACCAGATTTACATGATAAAAGTTAAGAAAAAGGTAGGCGGCTGGGAACATATAAAATCATAAACTAATAATTAATCATGCAAATATAGTCTGGATAATTAATTTTATTGCAGTGGGAAAATGCATTAATTTATGCTCTTTGAATAATACATTAAAACCTAGTTTTCTTCAATGAAAAATGGATTCATTCATCCATTCACTAAATATGCTGTGGCTTCTTTTCAAGAAAATAGGGAAAAACAATTGGAAAGTAAAAATCCCACATGAATATTTACCAGGAAAGTCCAAGTCAAAAATAATGCTGTGAAATGTAAGAACCAGCACTGTTCAATAAAGCCCAAAAATTTAGTTTATATTATTGGTCCTTTTCTGTTGGGAGCCTGCTATGTTATTCATGAGAGCATATTCATAAGATGGCACCCGCCTGCCGCCTCCGCTGCTCCCCCGCCCATCGTGTGCCCAAGATGGCACACACATCCTGCTTCCTGGTTCTTGCTCGGCTTACTGTCCCCGCCATATATGGTAATGATTGATTGCTTCCTTGTTGCTGCCCAATCGCCTGTCCCCACGTGTAATCCCATGATTGGATAACATTAGCTATATAAGCCCAAGTATAGGAAGTGCCCGACGCACAACACGGAAGAAGCCGTCGAGGACGGACATGTATTGAGGTTGCTGCCCAGTCAATAAAGGTGCTTGCAGAGGCTGAGTGTTCGTGTGCTCCATTCCGCGGGACGGAAGCGGCTCCGGACAATTTTCTCCATCCTGTCCAGACTTTGGTAGCCATGACACAAGGAAATGGCACCGAAGTGACCGAATTCTATCTGCTGGGATTTAATGACCAAGAGAAGTTCCAGTCCATCCTCTTCTTGGTATTTCTTGTGATCTACATGACATCCATAGTGGGTAACTCTGGGATGATCCTGCTCATCCACACAGATTCCAGGTTGCACACACCCATGTACTTCTTCTTGCAACACCTGGCCTTTGTTGACATCTGCTACACATCTGCTATCACTCCCAAGATGCTCCAGAACTTCATGGCAGAAGACAAATCCATATCATTTGGAGAATGTGTTCTGCAATTTCTGATCTATGGGACGTTTGTCGTCAGCGACTGCTACCTCCTGGCTGCTGTGGCAGTGGACCGTTATGTAGCCATCTGTAAGCCACTTCGCTATCCCATAATCATGTCCCGATCAGTATGCATCCAACTAGTCGCTGGTTCATATTTCATAGGTACATTAAATGCCTCTGTCCACACAGGCTTTACCTTTTCTCTGTCCTTCTGTAAGTCCAACATCATCAATCACTTTTTCTGTGATGGTCCCCCAATTCTTGCCCTCTCATGTTCAAATATTGACATCAATGTCATGTTAATGTTTATCTGTGTGGGATTTAACCTGACATTCACTGTGTCAGTCGTGATCTTCTCCTACATCCGCATCCTGGCCACCATCCTAAAGATGTCTTCTGCTGCAGGGAGGAAGAAAACCTTCTCCACCTGTGCCTCCCACCTCACAGCTGTCACTATCTTCTACGGGACCCTCTCCTACATGTATTTTCAGCCTCCTTCTGAACACTCCCAGGAGGACATGAAAGTGGCCTCTGTATTCTATGGCACTGTCATTCCCATGCTGAACCCTCTGATCTACAGCTTGAGAAACAAGGAGGTCAAAGAAGCTGTGAAAGTGATAGTAAACAAGGTTCTTTGTATAGAATCTAAATTTTTAAAATTCAGCACATCAGAGCACACAGTGGACATGTGTTATGACAGTTAATTGTTCTAAAATTGAAAACATTCAGCTTGCAAATCAGGGCTATCCTTTTGGTACATAAAATCTTAGGCTTTGGGGAAGTATTCTAAGACCTCTCCTGAGATACATTTTCCTAGAAAACAGATTTAGCAACATATCATACATAACTCATGGAGTAAACCTAATGGAGGTTATTTAAAATATAAAGAAGCATGCATCAGTTCCCACAGGCAGTCAGCATGAGTGGAGAAAGCCTATAGGTCTGCCTCCACCAGCTGGCCCCCGCCATCAGAAGGCTCCTTCCCGTGAGCAGCCAGTGTAGCTGTACAAGTCTAGAGAAGCCTGCCCCTCTACAGCCTGCTGCCTCCCTATAAATCTGGGGTCAGAGGATGCCAGGTGCCTGTCTCATTCCCCTACACTGCGGAGGGGCAGCCAGAATGGGAAGTGCCTGGGACCCCACAAGCAGCTTGTTGGGAGAAACCCAAGAGATTGTCATGATGAAGGAACAAAAGGCATTCTCAGACCTCCAGCCCACACAGAACAAGTCTGAGAGATACACTCTTGGAATAAATTGGAAGTCACACACCTGAAATCTCTGAGAGGATAGCAACTGAAGTGAAGAAACAACCTAATGAGGTTGTAAGAGCAGTCGAATTGGAAATAATGTCCCAGGTAAAAAAAGAAATCAGAAACTTACTGAAAGAATTGTTCAACAGGTCTAAAGAAGATATGGACAAAAAAGAGGAGCATAGGAAAATGATGGAAACCTTGAATGAATTTATAAAGGAATCACAATGCATGAAACAGACTCAAAGCGAGATCCAAAAAATTAAAAATTCAATTGAAAGCTATCAAAACTTCTTGGAAGAGACTGAAGATAGACTTGCAGACCTTGAACACAAGATTGCAGCCAGCAACTGTGAAAGGAAAGATCTTTTTAAAATAATGAGGAACCAGGAAATAACAATTCAACAGCTTCAAGATGATGCAAAATAGCATAACCTAAGAGTGATAGGTAACAGTGAAGAAGCAGGAGTCAACCCAAGTGAGATTAAAAGGCTGATTTTGAAGTCTTGTAATGCTTCCATCCTTTTGAGTGGTTTTATACTATTTTGCTATGTTTGATGTATGAAGGTATGGCCAACTATTATGAAGAAAACAAGAGACATTACGGTAACCACTGTTGATTTCCTGCTGTCTTGTTGTGAAGTTCTGTGTTGCCTACATTGTTCTGTTCTGATTTGCTTTGTTCTGTTTTGTTTTGTGTTGTTTTATTCTCTTTAAAATTAAAAAAGAAGCGTGCTTCAACTATACAAATGTGTTTTCAAATATTTTTCAAATGTGTTTTAGTTTATAAAACATAAATCCATACTTGTATATAGCCACCATAAAAATTTATTTCCTTATTTTCTTTTTTATATAACTTCCTTAAATTGCCTAAAATGAGCTACTTTGTTAATTCTATTTAAATTATTACAGTCATCTTATTTTAAAATGTTAACTGCTTTAAAATCATCTTATGACTCAAATTAACCTTTTACCCGATATTGCCCTTATTGATACATTTTCTACCACTTGAAAACACTTATTTCTATAGTTAATTACTACCTTTATTTTTTTTTTCATCTTTTCTTGCCAAGGAAAGGAAACTCCACAAATATTTTCTATTTGTATCTCCAACAGAGACATTCAAGATATAGATGCACCTAAAATCTAATCAGTGGACATTCATTTACAACATCCACACCAATCATTCTAATAAATACAAAATTATGCTATAGATATTCAATAGGAGACCAAATGAAGCCAAGACTCCTTGGAGACAAGAAACAAATATTTTTTAAATTAGTTAAGTAAATTTTAGACACAATGCCCCTTGGTTTCTAAATAACTTTGTATGTTTAATTTAAAGAAAGACATTCTTTTAGGTAAGTGTGAAAAATATGAAAATCAACACACTGATACACTACTACTATTTATCTTTCAGACCTAGAGACCTCATTTATATTTTACCCATTGTTCTAATATAAAATAAATAAGTTCAAGATTACAGATTCATTCAATTGTCATATTTCTTTAGCTCTTCTTTTTTTCTGGAATAGCTCTTGAACAGATCATGACACTGACATTTTGTTCAGTGCAATGAGTGTGTAGCATGTTCTCTTTGGTTTGTCAGATGGTTCCTCAGGAGAACAGTCAGGATGTTGAACAGCAGAGAAGGGAGTGGCATGCCTTTGCCAGTGTTGTATCAGAATTGTATTTTGCTTGTTGTAATGGTTGACACGTTGTGTCAATTTGAGAGGTTTGGAAGCTTAACTAAGTGACTCAAGAGCTTTACACCCCAGGGAGTAGAGGACTCACCCTAGGGCAGGTAGCCTGCTTATAATACAAGAAAGGAAAGAGTCTTGTTCCTGTTGCTTTTGCTGTCTTTTGCCACCTTGAGCTATTGTCCTCACCAAACCACCCTGCTTTGGAGTCAGCTGCTTATGATCAAAACTGTGGACACAAACTTTGATCTAATAAAACCTTCCCTTAACTTTGGGTGTTGGATATTTTTCATGGTGATGAAAGACAAGTAAACAAAATACTTGTGCAACACACACACACACATACCACAGAAACTGAGAATTGCAGGGAGCTACTATTTACAAAACATGAATTTCACTAAAGGAATCCAACCATGAATCTAGAGACAGGGAATCTCTAGATTTCCACCGCTTAGAAATCCATTTCAAAGAGGAGAAGAGGAGATAAAAACAAATGTTACAGTTAGCTATAAAATCGTATTTTACAAACCACATTAAAATATGAAGTGGTCAAATAAAACTACAACTATAAATAAAAATAGTAAAAAAAAGAAAAAGCATTAAGCTTATATTTCAAGAGATGAAAAGCTGATTTGAAATTAGAAGAAACTGATATTGTTTTAATTACAATTTAAACATAAAATAACTATGCATAATTATATGTAATTATATATTATATAAATTAACTGATAGTTAAATAAAACTATAAATATAATTATAAATTATATAAATTATGAAAATAATATAAATACTTCAATAGTTACCAAGAAATCTCAATCACTAAGCAAAAAATCAATAAATAGGCATTTTATTTATCATTTACTGTTTTAGCAAGAAAAGTAGTGCTTTGGAGTACAGTATGTAAAAAGAATGAGGAAAATACTGAACTCCACAGTATGAGAATAAATTAGGGAAGCTGATAGGATGAGTCATTTATCTAAGAACCTATTGATTACCAAGTTAGCCCACAAGATATTTAAGAACACGTGCCACGTGAGGGGAAAAATAAGTAGTTAAAACACAATCTTCTTGCACCAAAGCATCTATCCATGGATCTAAAAGTGTGCTGTGGATTACACCACACCAAAGGGAAGCCTGAGGGGGAAAGGACAGCTTCCACACAATTTTTATGAAGCAAATTAACACAAGCAGCTTCAACACTGGCCCGGTGTCACACAAGTATCAATGTGAACCTAGGAAGTAAAACTGCCACCACAGATGAAACAGGAGCATATCGAAAAGAACAGTGCAGCCCAAACAAGTTCAGTCTTACCACAGGAACACAGGAAAGTCCAGTATTAGGAAAATCTCATGAAGTGGTGTCTCCAGGAGATACCTACACTCCTGCATCTGTGCAGCGTGACTCCCATTAACCAGGACATTGCGAACATGAAATGCCCATCAATGAATGAAAAGATGAAAAAGACGTGGCGTACACACAAAACATATCTTCCATATGGAAGGCTGTTCAGGCTCCTCAAGAAGTGCATCTGATAGCTTGTGACAGTGCATAACAGACCCAGAGACCATAATGCCAGGTGAAATGAGCCAGGCACCACGAGGCAAACACGGCATGCTCTCGGCTATGTGTATGATTGGAAACGGTCAAACTGGTGGAATCCACGGACAGTGGGTTTGTCAGACCTGTGGGACTGGGAAATGGGGAGATGACAGTTGAGTGTTACTGAGTTGTGGTTAAACAAGATAAGTAAATGATTCAATAAAGGTACTAAGAGCTGTGTAAGTGCCTGCCTGGCAAGTGCGAGGTTGTGAATTTGATCCCTGGTACCAAAAAAAAATTTTTAATTAAAAAAATAAAGGTACTAAGAGGAAGCCTTGAAAGGTGATAAGTACATTCATTGCCTTGACAGTGACAGTGATTCCATGGATGTTTGCTTGTTCCTTGATGCATCGAGTTATATATAAGTCTAAACAACTTTCCACATGTCAAACTTGCTTCAAAGAAATAAGTTCATAAAGTAATGAAGCTGCAGTACAATTGTTTGATCTTAAACGTAAAGAGATAAGAAGACCACTACAACAGACATGAAAGCCCAGAAGGCTGTCCAAATATATAGGAAGGCTTATAATGTGATCACTCTGACAGTGCAGCCTAAGCACAGATGAATTATGCAAACAGCATTATTCGAGGGATAGTAACAGTGGGAGTTTAGTACACACGATGCAAACATAGATTCAAAATGCCTCAATGATTTGATTTTAAAATGAACTTTAAATACAATAAAATTTAAAATGCAACTTTTTTCTTTTTTGGTAGCTGGCATTGAACTCATGACCTTGTACTTGCCAGGCAGATTATGCCACCTAGCTAAATCCCCAACCCCTGAGCTAAATCCCCAGCCCGCAACTTTATTTTTAAACATGTAGAATGAATGTCTTTATAAATATGAGCAAAGTAAATTTGCTACATTAAAATCAAAGTATTCTTCTGTGTGACAAAAAAGGTGAAATGAGATAATAGTAGGAAGTAGATACTTGTAATTCTTCTAAAGAAGAGTACTTAACTAAAATATCAACTTAAAAGCAGAATATTTTTTAAGAGGATAATATGTACATGACACAAGGCACAGAGAATAAAATAATAATATATCCCAGAAACATGTAAAGATAATTCAACCTCACTGACATAAGAAAAAGACAAGCAAGGCCTAAATGTGCTGTTTCTCAGATGTAAACTTGATGCCACTGTCGTGACAT